CCTCATCCACTTCATCCCATCCCAATTCCTTATCCCCCTTATCCCACCCAATCTCTTATCCCATCCCAATTTCTCATCCCCACCATCCCATCCCAGCTCCAAGCTCCTGATCCCCATCATCCCATCCCAATTCCTCATCCTCTTTATCCCATCCCAATTCCTCATCCCCCTTATCCCATCCCAATTCCTCATCCCCTTTATCCCATCCCAATTCCTCATCCTCTTTATCCCATCCCAATTCCTTATCCCCCTTACCCTATCCCAATTCCTCCTCCCCACCACCCCACCTCAGCTTCAAGCTCCTTATCCCCTATTATCCCATCCCAATTATTCCTCATCCCCACGATCCCACCCCAACTCCCCAATCCCACCCCACTCCCCCTCCCCGGAGCCCCCTCCGGCCCCGCTGCCCCTCCCGGCCCGGCGTTCCCGCCGCTCCCCCATTCCCATCCCGCCATTCCCGGCATTCCCAGCATTCCCAGACCTGGTACTGCTTGAGGACGCCGTTGACCATGAGGGCCGACTGTTTGTCCACGCGCTCGGTGACCGCGTGAGCCACCGCGTAGTAGGACTGGAGCCCCCGCGCCAGCGCCTGCGACACCCCGTACTCGTCATCCACGTCCTGCTTGGCATTCCTGGGGGGAAAATGTGGGATACAGGGATCAGGGAGGGACAGACACCCCGTACTCGTCATCCACGTCCTGCTTGGCATTCCTGGGGGGAAAATACGGGATACAGGGATCAGGGAGGGGAATAGGGGATGGGACACCCCGTACGCATCATCCACGTCCTGCTTGGCATTCCTGGGGGGAAAAACACCGGGAATGGGGGGTCAGGGAAAAAGGGAGGGGAGAAGGATGACCCTGATGGGGGAATTCCTGTTGGGATGACCCTGATGGGGGAATTCCTGTTGGGATGATCCCAGTGAGGGAATTCCTGTTGGGATGATCCCAGTGAGGGAATTCCTGTTGGGATAACCCTGGTGAGGGAATTCCTGTTGGGATGATCCCAGTGAGGGAATTCCTGTTGGGATGATCCCGGTGAGGGAATTCCTGTTGGGATGATCCCAGTGAGGGAATTCCTGTTGGGATGATCCCAGTGAGGGAATTCCTGTTGGGATGATCCCAGTGAGGGAATTCCTGTTGGGATGATCCCAGTGAGGGAAGCCCCCTCAGCCCCATGGAGGGGTGGGGCGTGTTGTGGTTTTCCCGGTGAATTCCAGGGCTCGT